GCCCGACTGAGGGATGGGTGACTCACCGGCAGAGGCAGTAGGGGGCGTTACAGATTTTTTCCTGTAAAGATTCTAAATGATTATAAGATGCGAAATGGAGGATGTAGCCGACATTATAGTGTTGTCTCGTTTTTATATTTTTTGGACGGAAAATTTTGACCTGAATTATGGATAAATTATTCTTTTGTTAGAACCTAAAAAACATCATTATTATAGTAAAATATATAATTTATTGTATAAATAAGTATAAACAAGACGAAAGCTTTATACTTATAAATAAGAAAATGTTAGTAAAAAAGATAAAATAGAGAGATTTTTACTACTCTTTACATTATATTAAATTTAAATTATGTACAAATGATCGAAACAATTATTTTATTTATAAAAAATTATAAAAAAAATTATATTATATGTATAGCGATAGAGGATTCCCTAATTTATTTATCATGGTTTATATGTATTTTTTTGATGATTTTTAATCCATACATTTTTGATCTTTTATCTTAACTATTATTTAAGAAGCATGTTTAATAAAAAAATCTGATGTGTCAACACTTTAACAAAAGTTAGTGTAAATTAATGGTGACATGGAATTGTGACATGATAAATTTCCTAAAATAAACGAAATGTATTGATTGGTTGAGTTATAATTAAATAAATTATAAAATTATAACATAAATACACTAGATTATAACACTAAAAATAATAAATTTAAATAAACAAAAAATAATAATTACTATGATTTCAATTTGTTTTTACATGCATAATAGATTGTATAAAATATGATTACGAAACTTTTACAACCAATATATATTTTTTATTTTTAAATAGAAAAATAATAGTAGATTATTCAATAAGATAGTATATACATTTTATATTAATAATGTTGGGAGTGTGATATATTATTATTTGTACATAATTTTTTAACATTTTTATATTATTGTTTTCTGCAATTTGCGTAGCTTACATTACCATTTCATTTTATATCTCATCATTTTTTTAAATAATTCAAAAGTTTAATCATACTCATATACAATCTCATTGTAGATCGAGAATTTGAGATCAGAAATAAAACGTAATAAAACTGGATGAAAAAATAAATTATAAATAAGAAAAAAACAAATATGAATAGGAAGTATAAGTAAAAAAAAAATATCTACAGTTTTGTTTTTCCGTAACACTTTCAAACTTTGTTTTACGGATTCATTTAAAAATTGTAAGAAATAAATTTTATAGTAAACGCATGTGTGGCTCAAATTTTATAATGAACACATGCGTGCAGACCAAATATAAGAAATTTATTTTCTTCATCAAACTAATTCCTCAATATTGGACAAAGTGATGAGCAGAGATCTACCAGAGGATTTTATGAAATATGATTTCAAAATTTTTATAATAAATATTTATTATTAATTTTATTGGATATAAACAAACACATGAATAAAAAATGTAGAAGTAAAAGTACAAAATGAATCTTTACGATTTTGATTTTCTGTAAAAATCTAAGGCTATGTCTTTGGTTTAAAGCATATCTAACCCACCTTTATTTAAATTTTTCTAATTTAGAGGAAAAATAGCGATGTTATTTGTTCTTCTGTAATTGAAAGAAAAAGTAACAATTTTTCTATTTCCACTAAAATAGAAATAGGTTAGAGAGAAATTCACTTATATATTAGAGAAAAATATAAAACTACTTTGGAGATGATCTTAATATTTAATATATTATTCAAGGTTTAAAAAAATGAGTCAAAGAAGACAAAAAAGAATAATTTTGATCGATTTTGTGTTTTTATTTTGAAATATTTAAAATATTATCTTACACATATTAATTCTTTCATGCATATATTTTTTTCAACATCTTAAAATATTATTTCATGAATCAAGTTTTATATATGTTATGATCCATATATCAAGTTAGGAACAAAAGAAGTCTTATTTTGTAATATAATAACTAAATATTAAATATATTATTTTTACACATTTAATCATACACATATAAGTTTAGGATCTGTCTGGTTTAAACGTTGCGGTTACATAGAGTTTGTGGAAGTGAGCGATTGCGGGGTATAAAAAAAATTTGACGAAGAGATGAGCGGAGAGCTACCGTATAATTTTATAAAATAAGAATTCACAAATTTTATAGTAAATTATTATTATAATTTTGATTGAGACACCATATATCATAAAATGCTGAAAAATAAGAAATTGGATTAAATACAAAACGATAGAAATAGTTTTTGTGATTGTTGTTAAACGCCAAAAAACTGTATTGTGTAAAATCATAAAGTTTGCAGAAAATATCAGGAAAACTAACCAACACCTAAATATTATAGTTCACTTATTTATAATCATACCTACATGCAAAAATATACATATTTTTTATAAAAAAAAATCAATCATACTTTATAAAAATATATATTATAAAACATATATTTTGTTATTTTCTTTTAATACATAAAAGCCATACTTCGATTTTTTCACAAGTATGCGTATAAATATAAATATTAATTGTGAAAAAATCACAGTCGTATGCAAACTTGTCGTGCATACATTTTCTTAACCTCGATTACAGTCAAATTTTAATTTTAGTTATTAGTTAATTTGTATTCATTAAAAAAATCTCTATATGTCTTAAGAGCGGTGAGGTGGTTGGATAAGTAGTGATGGTAAAACCTATTTTGGTTAACTTAGCAATAAGTCAAAGAAAAATATATATTTAAAATATATATATTGACAAGATTATATTATGTAAGGGGAAAAAGAAATATAATATCGATAATATTCAAAACTTATTATAAGAATTTAATTATTATTTAATATAACTTTTATATTTGCAATTATATGTTACTCCAAGCGCTAGAAAAAACAAAAAGTTTTCAAAAAATGCAAAACGATATGAAATGTTTGTTTGATTATTTTTAAACACTAAAACTGTATATGTATAAAAACGTAATGCTTACATAATAAATTTCCAAAGACACAAAATGATAAGAAATGTTTATGTGATTGTTGTTAAACGCTAAAAGTGTATATGTATAAAAACATAACGCTTACATATGTATAAGAAATTAATCAATACTTAAATATTATAACTAATTATGTCTATAAAAAATTATACTTGCACATGCTTGCGGACCAACCATAAAAATTAAATAAATTATTATATATTTTAATATTTTCAGTTTATTTAGTTATCATATTTACACTTTTTATCTAATAAAGTATTTTAAAAATCTGGGTTAATATTTTTTTTATCTTCAATTTCTATTGAAATCTATTATATTTTTCATTTGATTTATTGTTATTTTAATTATTAAATATTTATATGATATTATTATTAATACATAATTAATCATATAAAAATAAAATATATTTAATATATAATATTAATTATATATTTAACATATAAAATATTTTATAGCCCGTACACGGTGCGGATCGATCATCTAGTAACCATTATAAGAAACTATTTTATTTTTGCTTATGAGAGTCAAATTCAGTCATTTAGTAATTTTATCTTAATTTTATCATGTCAAGAACTTTTGTTTTTTTCTTGTATTTGTGAATCCAATTCGGTTCCACTAAGGCATTAGTCAATAATAATAAAATTTGAAAATTATGGGCTTTGGTGGGCGACATATTTATTTAAATGGGCCTAAACAGACCCGACCAGACTAGAAATACGAAACTGGTTCAAGAGTACTTAAATCGGTGGCGCCAACAAAGGGGACTTCTCTAAAATTGCAACTTCGCCTTTCCTAAGATCTTCGTTGGTTTCTATATTATATTCTACGTGTATAACAAGATCTATGTTTCTGTATTATAATCTAGGTGTATAGCAAGATAATCTACGTTGTTTGAATCAAAGTTTCCTCATTTGAGAATAAAAAGAGAGTTTCCCCATTTGGTATCTAGGGTTTCCAATTTTGTTCGTACCATACTAACCTAAGATTTGTTTCCAAATTCTTTTCTCTTTCTTACAGCATATTTTCTTATGATTGAGCTTCAGATTTTACGTAGTGATGGGAACTTATCCATTGATTGATGCTTAGTGTAAGCTGGTTCTTGAGTGTGGATCTTGTCTGAGTGTTGCTAATATTTTTACACATATTATCTGTTACATTTACTGCTGTTTCAGTGTTAAGTTATTGATCTCCTTTTATCATTCTCTTCATGTGATCTGTATAAATTTGCGGTTGTTGCATTATTGATCTCCTTTTATCATTCTCTTCATGTGATGTGTATAACATCAAACCAACCCACTTTTAGTCTTTTAGTACCATTTGATTTGACCATGTGATGGATTCTTGCTCTGACCCCATTCACTTTAATGCATGTTTGTTATAGTTGTGGCCTCTCTCCTATCAGTGGATTACATTTGTGCATGTTTCTCTCATTTGTGGGGCTTCGCTTTGTCGCATTTTTATATGGCCTGATGATGATCATCACAGTATAGAGCTTAATTTTTTCAATAACAATACAAGAAAGCGTCTTCTACTTCTGAAAGGGTACAATATATAAATCATATGCTTTACTTGAAAAGGGCATTAACCCTTATATGATAATCAGTAAAAATGAGCTAGTGGCAGAGCCTGACTTTTTATAACCATGGAACTTCTTAATGCTAAGATTAAGACATTTCTCTTAGTTGACACCTCCACTGAACTATTTGTTTAATCTGTTTTTTCCTCTCATCAACCTGCACGTTGGACTTCTGAGATTTTATATATTCGTATCCCAGTGTGAGGATTTTTTTTGATGGTCTAATAAAGTTTGCTTTTATCTAAAGTTTTTCACTACCCTGTAATTGTGGAATTTTAAACATTTATGAAGTCAAGGTATAAAGAAAGTAACATTTTCGTAATATATACAACTTTACAGTGGAAATGCTAGACTTCTTTTGAAGTGTAGACTGTTTGTAATCTCAGACTAATTTCTAAATACATAGTAGTTTAATCGGGTTTTGAAACATAACTGCTACTACATCTAGGTGACTAGTTTCACCTGAAACACCGTATCCATCTCTCCGGTTCTAATGGTGCTATTTGCACGATGATGCTGTCTGGTGGTGGTTGAGTTGGGTTTAACGAGCTTGTTTGGCTGCAGTCGGCGATCTTCTGGCAGGTCTCGATGAGGCAGTGTCTGCAAGTGGGACAAGAAGAGTGTGCACTGAGCCACTTGTCAATACACTTGACATGGAATCCATGGTGGCATGTCGGAAGCAGCTTCACACGCTCTTCGGATACAAACTCCGAGAGACATATGGCACACTCTGTGTCTAGGCCAGGGAGGTTCAAATCAGCAGAGTAACTTACTGTCTGGAAACTCTTCAAGGCTTTTCGTTTGACTCCTGTGTTGGTCAAACGAGCCGCTTGGTTGTCACCAGCTTCAGATGGTACTAAATTGGAGCACCTCAAGGCACATCTTATTATAGAGTTGAGTCCAAGCGAGCAAACGAGTGCACATAAGAGTACTGATAGGACCATAACAACATTTGCATCAAATTTGTTGTTGTCAGCTACATATGTGGACGGTGCAGGACTTGGTGACTGATCAAGAAGTAATCTTCTTGAGTAAGAACTTCCAAGAATATCTTGCAGGATCTGAGTTGGTTTCATGGTGGGAACAGAAATGAAAGTTGACATGATAGCTTAGTTTTAAGATAGATTTTGGTTTTTCTATGTTTCCGTTGGAGCTCGTTTATATAGAGGAAAGGTAAAGTTTCAATTCATCTTTTAGATATTTTTAATCAGTAATAGCTTTTTATTTATTTATTTATTCCATTTTCTTAAATTAATAAGCTATAAAGATCAAGCACACAATAAGGTCCTTGAACTTTAGTGTCTTGTTTATGTTAATATGCTTTGTTAATAGAAAAATGGGTCCATCATACCAGTTGCTGCAATGGTAGTGCCATGTGGCTGTGGCTTTAGCAAATCAAATCTCTCAAAATTGCTTCCAGGGACCCATGAGCTTTAACTGGAGCAGCCTTGAAATTTCCCTATCTTTTGATATTAGCATCAAAACTTTCATATAATATATCACTGTACCTTGGTATTAAGGCTTATATTGTCACATGCGTCAGATTACATATTGTTAGTTTCGTGAAGCTTCTTTGGAACTTCTTGTAACTTTTTAATTAGTTTAGGGTAAAGTTTCTATAGATATAGTTCTGTCCCAGTGACATATAGAAAAACTAGGCAAGGTTTGATTTAACTTTTCTTTTCTTTATCTTTTTTGCTGTATTTTTTTTAACAGTGGTGGTTCCTAAAAGTTTTGTTGATCTGATTTTGTACGGATGAAATATTTTCCATTTAGTGAGATCCACCTAGGTTTGGGGAACAGGAATCCACCCCATCTGTAGTAACTTAAGGTGTCCGTAGAGTTAGCCAAAAGGACAAAGCCTATCCCAATCAGTCTCGTTAAAGGCTACTTTTATCGATAAAGATCACTCTCACAGCATTAGTATCCACCTCCTTTTTTTTTTACTATACAGTTTTTCTTTCTTTATCTTTGCATGCCTTTGTTTTTAAAAACCGGAGCAAAAGCATTTGGTCCCACGAATGATCAACAAATAGAAAATGATTCTTTTTTGTTTGCTTTATGAGATATCATTCTTTCATTGGTTGCAAATTGCGAGGGAAATCTATATGAATCTAGTATCAAATGTTTTTTTCTTTCTTGTAGCTCCAAATCAAAACAAGATTCTCTGAAAGGTGCTTCTGTATAAAATTCTTTTGCTTACTACTTGCTAATTTTTGGTTAAGTGAACCATTAGATTGGGAAAGATTGTGTATATCTTTGGGATAAAAAGTTTGATGTTACACAGCAGGATTGGCTTCTTTTCTATCTTTTCTTACCAGTCTCACTCGGAAATGGATTCCTTTTGTCTGTGCCATTTGGTTACAAATAACTTGGTACAAAAAGATGGTGGTCAGATTTTTTGGTTGTGTCTTTAAAGCATTTAAACTTTACTTTTAGCGTTGCTGTAATGATTCTTTTGTTTGGAATATCTTAATTTGATACTCATTCACTTTTCAATTGAAATACTTGATTTGTGGCTTGGTGAGTATTGGAATATTTCTGGGAATACTTAGGTAACAGTTTTGCTGGATGCATTCATTATGGGTTTTATAATTTAAGTTCTCTTTTGCTAGAAACTAGAAATACTAAAACACAGAGCTTTAGTCACTGTCTCTTAATTATCTATTTACTATTATTGATGTTCAATCTATAGCTTTCCTTGGTGGAATCTATTCTTAATCATTACTCTTCAATGCCAATTCTCAGTGTTCATCTTTTGGTGAACTTTTAAGCGAAATATCTTTCGTCTCACCTTTCCTACTAAATATCTTTTCTTCTTCTTCTCTCTTAATAATGTAAAGTAAATATCTTCTTAAGTAAATATCTATCTCAGTTTGTTAATCGTTCCTGCTAAATAGCTTTCTTCTCTTGATAATTTAGAGAACTTCATTCTGTGCTAGGATGAATAGGCACAGCCTATTGTGTGCATCTCTTTTTTTACTTTATAACGGTATGTCGACAATCTTTTTCCATTATATTATTATTAGTATAGTTCTGAATTATTTAGAGCTACTATGTTTATTATATTACCAAAAAGGTTTATACGTGAATCTATCTTATTGATCGAGGTCTTTAGTCCAATAACACAAGTGGCCAGGATTTTCTTAAAGCACTAGGATAGTATTTTTAAAACTTATCTTCCAAAGCTACAATTGTCCTCTAGTGCTTCTGTATTTACATGATGTTTCACTTTTAACTCTGTTAATAATAGATAATCCTCCCCCATCAGAACAACATCATGAAAATTGCAATTGGAGTAAGTATTCTTGATCTTCTTTCAACTAAACGGTAGTGAAAATTTGAACGTGTTTAATGTTTCGTTATAACCATTTAAGTAATTGTTTTAACGGTTGTTCCACTATAAAAATTTCTAGACAGTCTCTAGACCATTAGTTGTTGCAGTAAGGGCATCATTACTAATTAAGCTAAATCTGCAGTTTTCACAAACTCAATGATATGATCTGATACTATCTGATGTACCTCCTTAATGGACATACGCCACTTGTAAACAACAGTCTTGGGTTATCAACCAATAACCTTTATACTGCGTGCACAGCCTCAATTACTATTAAACTTTCACTTTTTATTCCGGAAATGCTTGTTAATTGAACTTTTTCAACACTTTATATCACATCCAGTCACAAGTGCAAATTATCTCAAGCCTTATTAGAACCATCATTTGTTTATGACTTGTTTTTTTTTGGTTTTGATAACCTTGTTTATAACATGTTGCTCCTTTTAAAACTGTAGGATCTCCAAAATCTCATAGTTAGAACATTTGAAAACGACTAAGATATCAAGTTGATCACTCCATGTATTTTTATGTTCGGTGTTTTTTTCACTTGTCTTGCATCATATCCTCACTTTTAGCTTGGTCTAATGTTTTTTTTGTTTGCCTAAAATTTGTTCTATTTCAAACTAAACCGATAGTATTGATCGTAACAAGAAAAAAAAAAAAACGGGTTTTCAGTTATATTGTGGTATTATGTTTTGTTTGGTGTATTAGGTACGATTCAGTTGGAATGAATTAAAATCTAGGAGTTGAAAGAGTTGTAGGCATGCTTAAGGGTTTAATGTTTGCGAATGATAAGTTGTGAAAGGATATTTTAGGATTACACAATATGAATATTACATCATTTGAACTCTTTTAGCTCGAAAAATAAGATATACAAATACAATGAGTGATGAGTGAATGACATGCATATTTGTTACAGTGTAAATTGTTTTTATCATGTGAGAACAATACACTTATAAATAATATATTTAAGCTTTTATAATTTTAGATTAATATTCGCATGCTTTAGGGAAAGTGTCACAGAACCAGCTTGTACCCCGAGGAACGATGTACTTTTCTTGACCAGATTGTTGTTTACTGCAAAGTTTTTCGCAAGCTACCTCGCACATCTTAGGAGTTGCATTTTTAATCTCTTTCAAACACTGGTTCGGGACACAGTGTTTGACACACATTTCTTTGTTTGCATGTGAGATTTGTGCCGAAAACATCATCGTGAACAATGCTGCAATCATCATGAAGCTCCATATTTTCTTTAGAATTTGAGCGGCCATCGATAATAATTATATAAGTGAGTATTAAAAAGTCTCTTTATTGCGAAGAGGATGTTTTGATGAGAATGTTGGATTGGTTTAGATGATTATATATAGTCAAGGTAATAGTTACCTAATTTTAGAAATCATTTTTTTTTTTTTTGAAGTTTCAATCTGTTTCTTGTTTTTGGGATAATACATTCAACTCTGTGATTTACTTTTTATGGTCATCAAAACAACTTCATTGTCATGAGTAAACAAAAATAAACAGCAATCAACTTATGTTGGTTAGTTTGCTCTGTTAATTTTTATGGTTGGGTCCATAGGACCATAGTTGCTTTTGCTATCATTAGTAAGAACAATCATGTGACATGTGGTATTTGCTATCCTCATGACCCATATGTGTGAAGCGGTTTTGAAGCGGCTTATTAAGCTGGTCGAGTCAAGTGGACAGATGCATTTTTCTTGTTCACGAACTTGGCGCATTTTCACTATCAAGCATGTAACTAAACTAAGATCATTGATTTCTCTTTTTACATGTAATCATTTGAAACTAAGATCAATAATGTAAAGAAAACACCGATAGTGCTTAGTATTAGCCCAAGACCGTAATACCCGAGAGACCCGAAAGAAACAAAGACCCTCTAAGTATGAATAAAAGGATGAAAGAACACTTAGAGAAAACTTGAAAGAACTTTAGAGAGAATAAGAGAACTTATGAAGAACACTCTTTCTTTATTTGTTCAACTTCTCTTGTTTACAAATGATGGAGTAGTGGGCTATTTATAGGCTCCACTTATTACAAAATATCTTACAAACATTCTTCTAATCTCTAGAATTCTCTATAACAATATCTAGATTTTTAACTACAATATCTAGAATTATCTATAGAATTATCTAGATATTTAACTAATAGAATTCTCTAGAACACTTAAGAAGATGATTATTTTTAGTGATGTTTCTAGAGATTCTAGAGATTCTAGAACTTGGACTTAATTTTGGGCCTAATCTAATAACTAATAATTATTTTATAAACCCAAAATTAAGTTTAACTCAAAATCAAGTTTAACTTCAATAAATAAAACAAAATGTTAAAAAAGAAGCATGTAACTAAACTAATCTTGACATTTATTACAGGCAAGCTATTTATTTTGTCTACTGACTTTTTTGGTTATGTGTAGTGATTGTGACAAATAAGAATGTATGACTAGTACTTATCAACTAGGGACTTCCCCGCGCTACGCGCAGGATATGTAATTGTTTTATTTTGATAATTAATTGTGATTTAAATCAATTAGTATATTGTTGATATTAGATTGGTAGCTAATATTTAGATTAAATTATATTTATTATGTATTGTTTGATTTAAATGATTTGTATTTGTTTTATATGTGTGTTATTTTTATTATTTTAGTAAGGAAAAAACATGGTGGCAGCGTAAGAGTTCTGAATTATCTATAGGTAATGTGAAATATATAAAGTATGGTAGGTTGATAATGATGTTCGGTGTATTAAT